GGGGGTGAGTAAAATACAGTATATACACTAGGCCAATGGTCCCTATTCCCTCCCTGACCGATACAATCACGGCTTAAAATTGTGCAGGCTGCCTGATAAATCCCTTTAAAAGGAGGACCTTTCCCATTGCAAATATCTTATTTATTCGCCAATCATTTGAATGCAGTGAATTAAGTGGTCAGGGTGGGTGAGAGTGAGCAGAAGCTTAAAGGGAACCTGTTCTACATTTTAAACTTTCACATTAAAAGTCCTGCCTGGTAGCCACATACAGCAAGGTGTTTGCAATTACATTTTAAAGCCTCTTATGGGCCCCTCTCTGATTTAGTTACACTGTTACTGGGGCCGGAGATGGCAAAGCTCCATCAGCTTCCCCTTACCAGCCCTAGTAAATACAAATCTTACTGGACTGCTAATGGGAGTTGACACAGCTTGCTCAGGGACGGTCAGGCCCCAGTAAGAGAGGAGCACAGAGGAGGCCAATAACCGTAATGAGCATCTTGTCATGATTCGTATTGGGCAGAACTTTTACTTTTAAAAGAAAGTAGTACAGGTTCTCTTTATGTGAAGTCAGGGAGGAGTGGAGAAGCTAAGAGTAGCTTATGGTTGGTAGCAAGGAGGAATTGGCTTTGCGAGGAGTAGGTGGAAGCAGGAGGGACGAAGGAAGACTAATGTTGAAGTGCCTTTAGATGGATAACGTAGGCCAAGAGTCACACCAATAGGTTTTCTCACAAATGGTACTAGCAAAAATGGTAAAAATCATACCTTTTTATTAAAACAAATTTCTAAACAAACACTTCGAAAGGGGCAGATTCTTTTAAAAAGAAGAAATCCTGGACTCCCGTTACGGTAGAGACCCAACAGCCATTCTGAAGACCAGCTATGCTTACCATATGAATGGCCGCCCATCCAGATAGAGGGGCTCCGCGTTCTGGGCAGCCAGTGCGGGTGGGTAGGATGCGTATGGGGCGTAGGATCGGCTCCGAGTTGGCTTGCGCCTCCCGCTATCATAAGATGAGGTGTTAGGTCTCCCGGACAGCCACCAGAAGGATGAATTCTGGCAAATTCCACCAGGTCCTTGTTTTCCCTAAAACAAATAAGAGGAAATGGGTGTAGCACAGACAAGATATGTAGACATGACTAAGCCGCACTTTGGTAAGAACCAATAATAGTTGGCAGTGATGCAACCAGTCTGAGGGTTACATTGCAAGGTCAGCTTTTTATGGTAGCCCCCCCACACCCCAAAAAAAAAATTCCAGATTAAACGGGGGAAATAAAATGGGAAACAAAATATTTAAAAAGCTTCCTTTATACCCAGCTTCTGGTTGCACTTGTAGGCACCAATGGTGTCACCAGATCTTCTATTAAGACACCTAAAAAAAGCTAAAGATCCTAAAACCTGCAGGAATGCACTCATAACTGTTCAGGACTTACAAAAAGACAGCTAGTCAAGGTTAGGATTTGGGATCCCCCAACTATCTGAGGATCCCGAGAGAAGGCCCGGTAACCTCACCTATGCCTAGGCTAGCACAAAGGAAGTCAAGGTAACCATTTCTTTCTTCAATTTTTTTTTTACTTTGACCCATTGTTTTTATAGGGGGTGTTGGGCTATCTAATAGTTTTCATTCAAAGTCCGCTTTAAGGCCTACTCACAGCTCACAGACATTTGCCATTCAACAGTATTCGTGTGCCATGGCCTGGGGTCCCTGCAGTCTAGACAACGGTAGGTAGACCTCTCACCACCCATTGCTCTCCATCACATCTGCCATCTTGGCAGCAGGTTTAAGGCAACAGCAGGGCACAGAACCGCCATGATCTGCGGAGTTCAGCAACCTGTTACATTCCTTGATGAATTCCTCATTGCTGCTCACGCAACCTTATCGTATGTTTTTTAAGAAGCACTTACTGCATTAGGAGGTCTCTTCCCGGGATACCCAACCTCTCATCGCAAAGTCGGCTCCGTTCTTCCTCCGCATCTAGGTCAATGACATGCATGGGTCGGCCAGAACCTACTGGCAGAATAATATCGGGTCAGCTCATGAACTGAACTAAAAATAGCAAAACAGGTAGAAAAGTTGTTGACCTGCAGCCACTTTCTAACAAGTTTGTAACTCCATGCTTTATTTAAACGCCAAGGAAGGATTGTTAATGTTCCACCTATGCCAACCAAATTCAGGCATTCATTCTTTCCTTCCTTATTATGATGAAAAGTGGCTCCTGCTTACTACAGGCAACACGACAAACACTTGACTACTTCCTTTTTATCAAATAAGACCCATCAATTCCCTCTGGAGGTCACCAAGGGGTTAATATTTTGACTCGGAGGTCTCACCAGCCAGCTAAACTGGGAAGCCTTCAGCTGGAAGCTGTGTCTCACTGGGAGAGCGGCCCAGAGGTTTGCTAATGAAAGCCATGTGTTATAAGCGAGCCAACGGCTTCTGGTAACCCCGGATATTGTTGCCTTGCCAACTGCTACACCCCCCTCAGCAGCTCCCCCAAACCACATGGTGACATCACTCTCTTCACACATCAGACGGGAAGCGCTAACGCCTCCTCACTCTCACACAATGCTTCCTGTCGGTGGAATCCATAGAGCAGATTCTGATTTAACAGGTTCGCCATGGCATATTGGCTTTTGACACGGTTGGTTGGCCGAACCTCCATGTGCCAACAGGAGCATCATCCACTTGACACGTACGTAAAGTACTGGTAAGGCTGCTTTCAGAAAGGGCAATTAAGAGGGACCCTGAACATGGATTTGAGGGTGGATTTGCGTTGGCCATTAGGTCTATGCTTCCTGCTCCCGAAATGATCAAGCAGTTAGACAGCCAGTCCCATAAGTGTAACTCCCACAAGAAGTGCCACTGGCAGTATCTGCCAGCACCATTCATGTACACCTCCCTTCCTCCCCTTCCAATAATTGTCATGCCAAAAACTTTTACATTGGTGCGCTCACTCACCAACTGATGGACAGGGAGATCAAACAAGGTTGTCGTAGATATAGATTGATTACAATGTTTATGGCACAGACCAGTGAGTCTTTGCCTTAATTATGTCAACAGACTCTTGGCAAGCTACCAGAATTGGTGAAGACCACAATATATCAAAAGTTCTTTGTTTCTTGAGCTGCACATGACTGTTTTCAAAAGCAGCAATGTAATATAATATTGCAAAGTGTAAATATATATATATCTATCTATCTCTAATATATATATATATATAGATACTATATAGATACTATATAGATAGATATACTATATAGATAGATATACTATATAGATCTATATCTATATATATCTATATCTATATGAACTGAAAGTTTGTGCATGACTGGGAACGTTGCCTGGCTGGGTGCTTTGTGATCACCAGTGGTCCAGGCAGTGGTGGCAGAGACAGGGCTGGATTTACTGTCTCTGCTGCCCCCAAGGCCAGGTTCCTCAACGCGCCCCCCTACCCGCCAAACACCCCCCCTTCCCACATGGAGAATGGCAGACCTGCAGGCTGCATATCAGTGACCTCAGCGACATCACCGAGATCACTTGTACAAAACAAGCAGCAGCTTCCCTGCTGTACATTTAGCTCTGCTCGCCCAAAGCAGGGCTAAATGTAGAAAACTACCCGCCCGGCACTGGATATCCCGGGCGTCGGGAGATAGGAATTCCACACCCCTGCTGCCCCTAGGCCGGGCCTTCGTTGGCCTTGTGGGAAATCCTGCCCTGGGTAGAGAGACACTGGCATAGATGGCCATCAAACGTGATGGACCATTCCTCACATATTGAACAAATAGGCTGTAAAACCTAATCATGGGGTAACTGTATCCGAATAAGTATTGCTCATTTCATTTAGCTTAGAGGCCGACAGCGTGGCAGGCTTCACAATTTGATGTTCTGATACAATAATGCTTAAGTTACTACAACCAATTCTAAAAAAACAAAAAAATTCAATGCAAACCTTTCTGTCCCATGTTATTTCTGTTTTGTCGACTTGACCCCGTCCCATAAGATGACTCATGACGGCCAGTAGTGTCTTTCTGCCGCGCTACCGCCACAGCGATGCCAACTGGCGGCTGCCGGACTTCGCCTTCCCCGTGAGAGGCATCGTTCTCCCGACTCCTGGCACAATCCATCCTTTCTTGCTCGGGCTGGCACTTGTTGTTGCCGTGGAACTTGTTTTCTTGATGGGAGCAGCTGGTCTTCATGTTGCCCAAACCCACAAAGGGTGTCCGCTGACCCACGATAAGTGCTTGGTTGCTGTATTTCAGCAGGTTTTTCATGGCGGACACCTCGTCTGTAGGCCCTTGCATCTCCTGGCTCAAGGAGGGGCCAGGAGTCATTAGCGCAGCCTGTTGTAAACTTGTGCTGAAGGGATCAAGGTAAGAGTTCTTTCTGTCATCACCGATGGAAATTGGTGACTCTGTCCATGGCGACAGGTGAGGTCCGTTGTAGCCCAAGGAGCTGAGTTCAATGGTTTTCCTCCTTCCTTCTTGGTTGCCTCCCGTTTGCTCTCCTTCAGATGGCCGGTGCTGCTGGTGCCGTATCCGTGCCACTTTTTGAGAGCTGTGCACCTGGGAGTCCTTGGTAGGCCTGTCTAAAGTGCAGCAGGACTGGCTAGTTTTTATGCAGTGGGAGTCCTGGTTGTTAGGACGAGGACAGTCTTGTGGAGTAGGCATCTCAAAGTACGCCGCCTTTTCAATGCTCCTCTGCATAGTCTCTGAACCTCCGCTATTTAAGAACTCAAAATTTTTGATCCTGACGGCTGTGTTCTGCGGCCACTCTGGCCTCCTCTCCCCTTTCGCCTCGGCTTTTAAGTGGGAGAACGTGTTCGCGTAAGACCCGGAAGGAGGGTGGTGGTGGTGGTGGTCAGTGTTCATTTCCTGGCCCTTGTCCTTCCCCTCTCCTCCTCTGTCTATATGGCAGCCCTCCGGGGTCACCTGAAAAGGCCGGCTTTTGTCGGTGAAGTGCCCCACGGAAGGCACAAACGTGGGCCTGCCCATCTTGAGCTCCCTGCCGGACTTATCCTGCAGAGAGCACACAACGTCCGAGTTGGAATGAAGCTGCAGACAGGGGTAGGAGCTGGTGGAGGTGTTCAAAGGGGCAGGAATGCTGGGGAGACTGGATGGGACAGTGTAGGACACAGAATGGTGAAGCATTTGCCTCCTCTCTAGGCACTCGCTGTAAGGTTGCTGAGGCTCGTGTTGGGGATACGACCGATCGGACCTCATAACTTCTTTGGCACATCGATTCTGGTTACCTTGGCGAGGCATCCCTGCCCCAACAGTGCAGCTCGACAACAATGCTTTGCTGGGGTCCCCGTTTAGCACCTTTGAGGTCATCAGGCAAGAGTTTAAATGCTTGGTCCTGTTCTCACACGATCCCCTCTGATGCATGTCCTCTTTGCAGTGGCTGTCCATGGTCATGGGCAGTACCGCTTTCTGCCTTTCCTTGCCTTCGTCCTCCAAGTGCCGATCTTTGAGGTCCCCTTTGCCCACCTTCTCCTTGTGCATCTCCGAGCCCCCCATATAGCGGTCATTGTCCTTTGAACCCTTCTGCAGGTGGCTGTTCTCTCTGTCCCGACTGCAGGAGCCAATGGGGTGACCCGGAGCAGCCCGCGCGATGCTGGGGAAGTTGTGGTTGGCGGAGAGGAGCGTGGGTTGTGGTGGGAGGTTCCGCAAATAGAAGTTATCTGGAATGAAAGAAAAGACTGATCAGGAACAGGAAATAAATCAGAATAACAGAACCAAGCTCAAATTTCACCGGGTAAGTTGAGATTTGCATACATTCAGCAGCTTGCATTACCGGATCTACTAATCATTCCGACATGCGTATTTCATGGAAGATACGCTCAAGTTACGTCATTTTCATCATATGCTCGGTGTGAGCACCGAGATGACCGCTCCAAACTCCCCCCCCCACCCCCGGGGTTGGACTACAATCTCATTACAGATGAGTAACCTAAACATGAGATTGTAGTCCATCCCGGGAGTGAGCTTGGAGCGGTGACTACTTTACAACACACACAGGAACCATGGGGAACACAAGTAGCCCCCCTCCAGAAGGAAGGACAGTGTCAGAGATGATTGGAGGATCTACAGCCGAGTGATACACAAATCAGATACATTGTTGCGCAGAGTTAAAGAGGACTCGAGTTAATTATTAAGATTAATTTAAAAAGAGAACGATGCGGTGAGTGCTTTTCCCCGTAGTTCTCTTTAGGGTGACGGGAAGACATATACTGACTTCCTCCCGTGACTCAAAGCTCAGTATATAACGGGCTAAGAACATATTACATTGATGTCGGCACATTATTATTAATGTAAAAAAGTTAATTTGTTTCTTTTATGAAGTTGTTGTTATTATTCCTTCATTTTTGTTACATTTATTTTTTTAAAACAAACTCTTAAAGGGTTAACGATCTACATTTGTTGACTTCCTTTTTCATAACAATCTAAACATTTTCCTTTGTTTCTGTTTTTTTATACAGTTTATGTCTTTATGTTATCTCTGGAT